GAAAAAAGGAACAAAAGAAACGAGCCGAGAGGACTCAATAGGAGAGGTCGGACAAATTTTGGAAACTTTAAACGCTCATAACTCCGTTTATACAAAATTGAAGGTTCTGAAAGTGATTTCATTGGTTTTTTCGTGAATTTTTCTCTCAGAAACACCCCTTAAAATTTAAAATGTGACGAATTCAACACCAAAATTTGCACTTCAGTTATAAATGTCATGTCCGACCTCTCTTATCGACTCGGTTCACTGTGCACGGAGAAAAAAACTTCGTGCGTGGGACCCGAAGTTTAGGTCATATGGATCTCTGAAGTTTTCGGATTGAGCATCTGAACACTGTAGGTCCAGCTGCTGAGGTTTGGATCACACATCTGAAACTTCAGTTCGTACATCTGAAGTACTTCGGTTTTCACATCCGAACAACTTCGGTTCTCACACCTGAAGTACTTCAGGTGTAAGAACTGGAGTTCCAGATGTGTGATCCGAAGTACTTCAGATGTACGAACTGAAGTTTTAGATGTGTGATCCGAACCTCGACAGCTAGACCTGAAGTGTTCAGATGCTCAATCCGAAAACTTCAGAGATCCATATGACCTAAACTTCGGGTCCCACGCACGAGGTTTTTGCCTCCGTGTGCGACGAAAAAAGGAACAAAGGAAACGGCCGAGAGGACTGGAAAATGGGTCACGACCCGCGGTGAAGTAGGAAGCTCTAATAAGGCAACATACGGCTTTCAACCGGCGAAAGTTTGTTGTTTAATTGAAAAGATGAGAAGGCGCGTGACGGCCGCGGAAGGTTGACGAGCCTTTCAGAAAACCTTCCGAAAAGGTTGCTAGACGGTGGGTTCTGAAAGGCTAATCGGACGCTGTAAAACCCGGAAATCGAGCGTGTTCGGCTACGCTGCTTTTCAGACATGCAATATTGCATGATAATTATCGTTGCTGGGAGCCCAAAAGGAGCCGTATCAAAAACAGCCGATGCGATTCGCAAGAGGCCCTCCGCGTTGAGCTTTGAACTTTAGAACGGGCTCATCTCCTCGTAAAGTCGATCGTTATGCTGTAATTTTGTTGATTGCACATTTCCCCCACATGACTGATAACCTTCCATCTTCCCTGTCAAGGGTTTACAGGATGTCTAGCGGCCGGGAAAACCTAGAACACCTGTATACGGGAGAGTATTGCCATCTCTGTGCCGTTCTCTGATTGGTCCATCAGTTTCAGGCTATCATGGAGCTCCAAAGTTGGACCAATGTAAAGAAACCCGACCCAGAGGAACACGTATTATCGGCTGAGAAATTAATGATAATTACACTCAAAACTTAATTTTCGGCAAGAACATTCATCAAAGTTCGATCCGAACTCAATTCAGAAGTTGGATATAAAAAAATTTCTATCGCACCCAAAATCACGCCCAGAACTTTGTAGAACTTTTCCGCCATCTTGTTTGTTTACATCGGGCCAAACAATGAGCGGAGGGGCTGGGGCTTGTTTGCGTTGGTCCAACTTTGGGGCTCCATGATAGTTGACCAATCAGAGAGCGGCACACTTTTTTTGTATTAAAAGGATTGAGATGGCAATACTCTCCCGTACACATGTACTCTAGGAAAACCGGGAAGTGTCAGGAAAAGCAGGGAAAACGTCGGGGATGAAAATTCGGCATGTCAGGGAATTTTATTTTGCAAACGATTTTCGAGTCAGGGAAATCAAAAAACACGGCTTTTCCGGAAAACATTTCGCGAATTTTACTCTTGCGGGAATTTCTTTACCAAATTTTCTACCAGAATTTCCACTGATGTCTTTTAAATTTTATAAATGAGGCAAAAATATCTCGCATAAGTTAAGGCGTCATATATTTTGCTCTATTTATTACATGTTATCCCTAAAACAGGAAAAAAACCCTTACTTACATCTGATCAGTTCAACCGTGTCGAAAAATTGGGAATATTTTTCCTTTTTGCCAGGGAAATGTCAGGGAATTATTTTTTCCGTCTGCCACGGAATTTTAAATTTTCCCCGGTTTTTTTGCCGTTTTTGTCAGGGAAATCGGAGAATTGTCAGGGAATTTTATTAGCGGCTCTGGTGCTTGCACTAGAGCTGCTATTCCGGACGGTCCCAGCTGGGGAGTATCAACGGACCATGTTACATTGGAGAGACCGCGTGTTGGTTGATGGGAATCGGCGCCATTTTCTGCTGTTTAGGTGGGACTGATTTTATTTTAATTGATATCTTTTTTCTGTTGCCGTGGTTGGAGCTTCCTAGTCATACTACTCGACATCAGCTGATAGCAAACAAAGGTTACCAAGGAAACCATAAACGCGTAACAACTACCTACCGTCGCCAGAGCCGCTTTCCGACGCGAATGCGTTGGAGCTTCCTGCTTGTTTTTGATTTCTAGACACCCTGTACCTAATAAGAGTTTAGCCGCAGGTATCTCGGCGACTCCAGACACGTGCGTCGAGTTCGAAATTCCGTGTTAGAAGTACGTAATCCGCAGCCAGTCGATTTTTGAATCGTTCGTGAATCGTCGATCCTGATCGATAAATCCTTATCGTCATTAGTCAAGTAATAGTACGCACGTTGATGACGGCGCAGAGATACAACTATTCGTGCTTGATGGATGTCCGTGTTGCATCTACAAAATTGAAGGCGCTATGGCGCGAAGCATGAACTTGCAATGCCCCGCTCTATGTTGCCAATAAGGTGTCACCATGATTTGGCAGAAAAGTCGAAGTATGAGACCTGAATACGTCTTTCCTATCTTCCGATGTGTTTATAATCGATTTTTTCCCCCCCAATTTGATGCCTGATTCTTTTTTTAAGATGTATTTGTAGACCTATATCTATAGCTCGTGCGTATACATATGTATTAACCTCACTCCATAAATTTTCCTGTACGTATCAGCATCCTTGCGTATACCTTGTCATCGTTGGTGAAACTTTCGAACCGCGTATTTCGTATTTCAATTTTTTAAGAGAGAGCAAATAAACATCGTTTCTTGAAATCGTCTCAGAATTTGCCTCTCGCGAAGATGAAAAATCACAGTCGGTTTTGAGAATTGACATTGAGTAGTTCGCCACTCAAAAAAATTAAGTATGACAGGAAGTCGTCACTTTCCGGCCGAAGTATCACAAGCGGCATGCGACGTTTCAAAATTTCCGCCACCATTTTATTTTTTCATAGAGAAATTGTTTGATAAATCTGCTCTGAAATTTCACCGAATTTTATCGGCAGAACAAAGAAAATTCAGTGGAGTTTTCAGACAGCCTCGTTGAACAATGTGTCAGCTAAAAAATGAATTGGCGGCGGAAATTTTGAAATGTCGCAGGGCGCTTTTGATACTTTGGCCGGAAGGTGACGAAATCTGGAACGTCGTAAACCGAGATACGTGTTTCTTGGACTTTCTTCAGAGCTCAAAGTGGTTTTTAAGCCATTTTCCATGGGAATGCACTCTTCTTTTCGTTCTAGATGAAGTTTGCAATAGGCTTACCTGACGGTCGTTTTCAATTCGCCCTCAGCTGCGTCTGCAGCAATTGTTGCTACGCATATGTTGTGCGCGCTGATTTCATCTCATTACATACATGACTCTCTGAAGGCGTTTTATGTACGTCACTTCGTTCGTCCTCCAACAGACTGCGCTACTTACGCACATAAAACGCCTTCAGAGGGTCAAGTATGTAATGAGGTGAAATCGGTACGCACAACATATTCATAACAACAATTGCTGCAGACGCAATCGAAGGCAAATTGAAAACAACTGAATAATTCACGAGGAGAAACATTATAGCGTTTATTGCCCGAGTGAAATCGCGGACCAATACGAATCGAATATTGCAGAGTTAGAACTCTGTTTCAAACTTCTCGCCAAGTTTGAAACGAAACCAACGCGACTGAGCGATTTGTCGATTTTTGATGCTTGAACAGAGGAAGTTTCATTTGACGTGCCACATTTCCCTCTCTAATTTTCGCGCGTAATACGGTACACGAATCTAAGCCTAGGTTCAATCCATAAACGATACTTTTTTTTTGCGTTTTCGGAAGATTCACTTTTTCCGCTCATAGAAACCTACTTGGACGAATGTAACACTGAACTAATTTCTGAATTCTTTTCAACGGAATAATTCTCTTCGGCGATTTTTTTTTTATAAATAAGATAATTGTTTCTAGTATGGCATAGAATACTTGCATGATGAGAGTACCAGAGATAAGAGATATGTTTCGCGAATGTTGTGTGTACTCTTGCGGGGATTTCTACCAAAATTTGTACCAGAATTTCTGCAGATGTCGTTTAAATTTTAAAAATGAGGCAAAAATATCACTCATAAGTTCAGGAACCACACACTTTGCTCTATTCATTACAGTATATCCCCGAAACATGAAAAAAGTCTCACATCTACCCAGTTCAACCGTGTCGAAAAAATACGAACATTTTCCCTTTTTGCCAAGGAAATGTCAGGGAATTATTTTTTCCGTCCGTCACGGAATTTTAAATTTTCCACAAGTTTTTTGGCTGTTTTCGTAAGGGAAATCAGGGAAATGTGAGGGTATCTTATTTTTGAAAATTGCTAGACACTTTGTTTAATATGTAACAAGGTGGAGAAATGGTGCTGGGTCCACACCATTTCGCGGGGAAATCAAAGCCAAGAAGTTCCAAAAATTATAATTAGAGTCAAAATTAAATCACCGGTAAAAAAAAAACCTCTTGGACCAATGCCGCGGTGCATTGACTTAAGAGTGCAGTTTCTTGTCGCCGGATTCAAGAGTCTTGAACTCTTGTTTCAAGCGGATTTTGCATTGATTCAAGCGGATTTTGCATCGATTCAAGCGGATTTTGCATTGAAATAAGAGTCCAGACTCTTAAATCCGGCGACAAGAAACTGCACTCTTGAACCAAGAGGTTTTTTTTACCAGTGATTTTTTGAACTCTAATGCGCACCAGTACGAACTGAGTACGAATTTTTTTCTTTTTTTCCCACCTGTTTAACATGTTTTGATGGCTGTTTCAGACGTAACTACCGCAGGCGGTGTCGGAACGGGGGTGCCTGAAAAACCGCCCCGTCCGGAGTCCCGGATGCCTTCGGGGCTGGCGGGGCTGTCGGAGAAGCTGCAGCGACTCCTGCTCGGGGCGACGGAGCTGACGAAGACGAGCTACCGGTCGCGGAAGATCGTGGTCTACATCTGCGCGGCGGACTCGCAGGACTGCTGCGCGGAGAAGGGCGCCCTCCACAACGAGGTCCTCCCCGGGCTAAGGGCCCTCTGCAAGGGCCACGGCTACGAGCTCCACGTGGTCGACCTCCACTGGCGCACCGCCCTCGAGAAGCAGCAGGACCACGAGTTCCCCGAGCTCTGCCTCGGTGAACTTGCAAGTAAGTCACACGAATAACACTCCGAAAAAAAACACGTTGGATCTTGAGTCTAGACTCTTGAGAACATTGACAAGAAAATGGACTCTTGATTCCATCAGATTTAAGCTTAAATCAAAAGGAAATCCGCTCAAATTAAGAGGCTTGGTTCTTGATTTAAGCTTTAAGACGAAATTTAAGCATATTTCTCCTTGAAATTGTCAAGTATTTTAGATAAAATTGCGAGCAAAATAGTTCGAAAAATTTGAAAAAAAAAAAACATTTATAACTTCCCTAGTAAATTCGTATTTTATCAGAGGAAATTTAGTAACGCCTTAGGGTTCATACGCAGGGTGTCTACTGGAACAGGCTGCCGAAAAATCGGTACTTTTACAGTACATTCCCAAGAAATTCAGTATATCCTCAACAGAAAAATTCAGTACTTTTTCAGTGCCTCCAAATTAACAAAATTCGAGAAATTTCAAAAATTTGAATTTCTCGCTCAAATTGCGACAAAAATGAAGAAAAATCCGGAGTTTCTTGCGGAATTTCCGCACTATTTCAGTACTTCCGGACCGCTGTTAAAAATGAGTACTATTTTCGGACTTGTAGACACCCTGATATGGCGTTCTTCCTTAGGACGGCAGAGTATTCACTGAAAAAAAAAAAAAAAAAAAAA